TCATCCACCTCCTTTTGTAATTGAAGAAATTTTAATTGTAATTCATATTTCTTTTGGAAAATCATTATTAATCAAATAAATAAAATTTGAAGGAAGAATGATGAATGAGTGATGTTATATTCCTGTTATTAGTTTGACCTTTTTACTGACTTTCGTTTATTAGTAAAACCAGTTGATGCTGTATAATTATTAGCCAATCAGATAATTTCTTTTGTTTTATGTGCGAGTCTGTTATGTAATAGAATAAACGTGTTCAGCTTCCATGTGTTCATCACTCTGGGTCCAACGTCTATCAAATACCTCATAATCTAACATGGTGGCAGCGGTAAACCTGTGAATAATGAACTAAACGGTGCGTCAACCGTAAGTTGTGACTATTTTGTGCATTTTTTCTCATTATTTCGGGAACCAGAACACTGTCAACTCGATCGACACATGAGGTCACTGAGTGCATCAGCTCTTTTTGAATGACATTTGAGAACTCCGAAGTATTACCTTTCCTCAGATATCTATTCAATATGGGTGATCCACCAACTATATATCAAAGTGTTCCGGGACCAGGAAAACTCTCTCTAGAAGGTGATGCAGCTCTAAACTTCCGCCGTTTTGAGCGCGGGTGGAAAGTGTACGAAGTCGGCGCTCGTGTCAAGGAACAGGATGCGACAATCCGAGCTTCCATTCTCCAGTCATATTTGACCGCAGAAGTCCTAGAACTACTGGAAACGCTTCCATTTGAGGACCCAGCTCACCGCAAAGATGCTGACCGTATTCTCAAAGTGCTTGAAACTCACTTCATTGGGACTACAAATGAAACTTATGAAAGGTACAAATTTAACATTCGCTCTCAGAAAAAAGGGGAAACTTTTGATACATTTCTCGGAGCAATCCGTGTACTCTCCAAGTCTTGTAATTTTGGTGCACTCGAGGACTCTTTACTCCGTGACAAAATAGTGTGTGGTGTTAACAAGGAACACACAAGACGCAAACTCCTTGCGGAATCACAACTCAACCTGGCAAAAGCCATAAACATTTGTAAGGCTGACGAGTCAGCTACACAGCAAGCATCCGAAATAGGCAAATCAACAGACACAAAGAAGGATTCTGTTCATAGTGTAAAAACTCCATGTGACTCTAAACATTCTCAGCGGCCCCAGAGAGGACCCCTTCCACAACAGAGACCACACAAAGGACAGACTCAGAGACAAATAAACCATTGCAAGTATTGTGGTGGCGCACATGCATGGAAAAAAGAAGCATGTCCGGCATACGGAAAGACTTGTAAGAAGTGCAAAGGAAAAAACCATTTTGCTAAGTACTGTAAGCAAGGTGTTAATACTCGTGTTCACAGTGTAGAAGAGGGCAATGACTATTATGCGGAGCCTGAGTACTTGATTAGACAAGTCAGTACTAACATTGCAGGTGGATCTGGACGTCTCTGTGCGGAACTCATGGTTAACGATCAACCAATAGCATTTCAGATAGACACCGGTGCTTCTAACAATCTTATTGGAAAGAAATGGATTGGTGACACTACTATTACTCCATCGACCAGTACTCTAGTGATGTGGAATGGCTCGCGTATGGAACCTCATGGGGAGTGTATTCTGAAATTAGTCAATCACAAGAACAGGACCAAGTACAAAGTCAAGTTCGTAGTTGTCAATGAGGACTTAACTCCACTCCTCGGACTCAATGCATGTACTCAAATGGGACTCATTACCATTAATCAGGACAAGTTCAAGCGAGTGAACTCTGTGTACTCCGTCTGTCCGACTGTTGCGTACAAGGATGTATTTGAGGACAAAATAGGACAACTCCCTGGAGTAGCACATTTTGAGGTTGACCCCTCAGTCTCACCAGTTATATCGCCAGTCCGAAAAGTTGCAGTCCACATGAAACCAAAACTAAAGGAAGCACTAGATGATTTGACAGAGAAGGCCATCATAGCTCCCGTTAGCAAGCCCACCGATTGGCTCAGTCACCTTGTATGTACCACTAAGAGAAACGGTGAACTCCGACTATGTTTAGACCCGGAGCATCTCAACAAAGCACTAAAACGTGAACATTTTCATCTTCCAGTACTCCGTGAGATGCTACCAGACCTGGCACATGCAAAGGTGTTCTCAACGTTTGATCTCCGTCATGGCTACTGGCACGTAAGGCTGGATGATGAAAGTAGTCACATGACTACATTTGACACACCATTCGGAAGGTACCGTTGGTTACGACTCCCATTCGGTACCAGTGTTTCCTCAGAGATGTTCCAGCGACGTCTATATCAGGCTATAGGTGACTTGAGAGGGATTCTGAATATCGCAGATGATGTATTACTCTATGGTGTTGGTGAGACCAAGGAAGAGGCCATGAGAGACCATGATGAAAAGTTAGTAGCATTTCTCCAGCGATGCCAAGCAGTTGGTATCCGACTCAATCCGAAGAAAATGCGGCTGAGACTCTCCCAGGTAGGATTCATGGGTCACCTTGTAACTGACAAAGGAGTGCTACCAGACCCAGATAAGGTGGGTGCCATTCGCAACATGCCAGCACCAACAAACCTACATGGTGTTCACAGACTATGTGGAACAGTGAACTTCCTATCAGACTTCATTCCATCATTAGCTACAATAATGGAACCGATAAACATGCTCAAACGGAAGCACATTGAGTTCAGATGGGATGAACCGCAACGCAAGGCTTTCAACAAAGTGAAAGAAATACTATCCTCTGAAAATCATCTCCAATACTACGATGATAAGAAACCACTTACCATACAGTGTGATGCGTCCCAAAGAGGCTTAGGAGCAGCCCTTCTACAGGAAGGAAAGCCAATAACATATGCTAGCCGAGCACTCACTGAAACTGAGGCGAACTATGCTCAGATCGAGAAGGAACTTCTGGCCATAGTTTTTGCACTGGAGAAGTTTCATCATTACACATTTGCTCGACATGTGGTGGTACAGTCTGACCACAAACCACTAGAGACTATCATCCCAGGCTCTCTCTGGAAAGCTCCAAAACGCCTACAAGCAATGAAACTCCGACTCCAGAAGTATGACATAACTGTTAAGTACCACAGGGGCAAGGAAATGCACATAGCGGACACACTGTCACGTGCGTACCCGTCTGACACAGGAATGGGCAAACAGGATGACATAATTGACATCAATGTTATTCAACATATCTCCATCTCCCCTGAGCGTATCAAAGAGATACAACGCCACACTGCTAAGGATGAGACCCTACAGGCTCTTCGCAAAACTATTCTGGAAGGTTGGCCTGACCTCTTAACTGAACTACCTCCAGTGGTAGGACGTTATGCATCCTACAGAAGTGAACTTTCGTTTACGGATGGTATCATTCTACGTGGAGACAGGATCGTAGTTCCTCAGACTCTCCGTAAAAGTATGCTAGAAAGACTCCATAGCTCTCATCTAGGTATCACTGGCACCCGTCGACGAGCAGCTGAATGTCTCTACTGGCCTAACATGAGCAACGACATAAAGGAATTCATTTCACAGTGTGAGACATGCCGCAGCATGGAAGTGGCAAATACCAAGATGCCACTCTCGCCCCATGATGTTCCAGACCGACCATGGTCTAAGGTTGGTGTTGACCTTTTCACGCTCAACAACATCAACTATCTCATTCTCGTTGACTACTTCTCTGGATACTTTGAGGTTGATGAACTGCGCCAAACACTTGCAATCAATGTCATCCAGAGAATGAAGTATCATTTTGCTCGATACGGACTACCTGAGATTGTCATCTCGGACAACGGTCCCCAATTCTCATGTCTCGAGTTTCTGAATTTTGCAGAAGAATATGACTTCAGACATCAGTCCAGTAGTCCTGGAAATTCTCAAGCCAACGGAAAAGCTGAGGCTGCAGTAAAAACAGCAAAGACTATCATCAAAAAAGCTCTGGCGTCCGGAAGGGATGTGTATCTGGCACTACTTGATCTCAGGAACACACCGACCCAAGGACAGAACACAAGCCCTGTACAGCGCTCTCTTGGTCGCCGTACACGTACGCTTTTACCAATGACAACCACCCTACTCCGACCAGAAGGCATACCGACTGACGATATTCACCGTAAGATCCTGCAGCGACAGGAAACACAGAAAAGCTATTTTGACAGAAAATCAAAGACCCTCAAGCCTCTCGAGGAAGGTGATGTGGTTCGTCTTCAACCATTCGTCAACCGTAAAGCCCCTTGGGCTAAAGGTCAAGTCATCCGTCGTCTAGATGATCGCTCCTATGAAGTCAGTTCTGGAGACCGCATATACCGACGCAATCGAGTACACCTTAAGGCTACCAATGAACCTCCAGTGATAACCTTTTCACCTAACACACCTGTGCATGCACCATCTGTAGTACCTACTTCAAAAACACCGACTAAACCCAAATCACCGGTTAAGATCAGCCCACAGCCTGTGCAACCACATATCACTGTACCTCCGGCACCGATGCCAAACTTACCTGATGCTCGTATTACCACATCAGCTCCGAAGGCTGATTCAGCAGTGAAAACGCGATCTGGCAGGACAGTTAACCTACCTTTGCATCTTAAGGATTTTCAGATTGATGTTAAGAAATGAACAGTTTTGTATAAGCTTTATTATGTTTACATCTCAATGACAGTTTCATTTTTTTTTTTTTGTAAAATGAGGAGGATGTTATATTCCTGTTATTAGTTTGACCTTTTTACTGACTTTCGTTTATTAGTAAAACCAGTTGATGCTGTATAATTATTAGCCAATCAGATAATTTCTTTTGTTTTATGTGCGAGTCTGTTATGTAATAGAATAAACGTGTTCAGCTTCCATGTGTTCATCACTCTGGGTCCAACGTCTATCAAATACCTCATAATCTAACAAGTGACACTGTACAAGCCTTGAGTGAAAGCAAAAAATCACACTGCTTATATTTTTATGCAAAACTAAAGAAGCATGAAACGTTGTACTGAAATTAGAGGTAAAAGATTTATTTATTTGGAAGCGTTAAGCTAAAGCCCATCCTGCAAAAGACGATCTTCCTTCAGGCCTGCTTACTATATCACCACCATTCCATGAGTCATAAGTTCTGAGTAAAACATCATCTCCTTGGTTAACATGGACCACGACAGTACCGGTAACACAGCCGTCTATAGCATTACCAGAGTTTAGGTATATCGCCCCAACAGAATAATTATTGACCAACAGTTCTGTTGGGTGTTGTGAAGTACCATACATTCTAATAGTCCAAGTAAACACGTAAAAACCAGATCGTGGTACTATAAATGTTCCAGAATGGGGATGATAGGCATTTCCAGCATTGGTAATTACGTAATCAAATGTAAGAATGTGGTGCGCACTTGGAGATGGAACATCCTTTGATAAATACGCGTAGAAAGCAACAACGTTGCCAAGTGATGCTGAATACGTAACAGGAGCAAGCACTCGTTCTGTCAAAAAAAAAAAGAAGAAGAAAAGTGCATTTAATAAAGAGCAAATAACATTGAAATAGATGTAAAATGAAACTGATACGGTATGAAGGACGCAGAAACCTACCTTTCCTTATCAAACTTTTTTGGTGTTGTGCTTTAGGGAAAGAGAACTTTTCTTCCTGCAAGTGTATCAAATTTTGTACTCGATTTTTTAAACCCATGTAGAGTTTTTCTTGTACATTCTGTCTACTCAGAAACATGGCCATCTTTTTCATAGTAGTCTCCTTTAGTTTTTTCTCAGCTAAAACGGTCTTGGATTGTTTTTCCAAACGTTCTTCTAAACGGGAGTACTGCTTCTCTAGAATAGAAATCCGTTCATCTTGTTTGTTTTCTCTGTTGTGGAGATCGGTAGCTATACGTTTTTCCAGGTTTCGGTTCTTCTCCTCTAACAGAGAAATGCGATCATTTTGGAGGTGTATGGTCGTCTGGAGTTCCTCTAATTTCTCCATCACCGCCTTCAAGTCTGTATTGGTATCAGTTGTTTCCCCAACATGGCCATTAACAGGAAGATAGAGGAATTTTGCTAATATAAAAAAGAATAATCCCGTCTGCATTTCAAGTCTAGTCCTTTGTGTTAAAAGTGCTCACCTCATATCATTAAATGTGTTATCAGGGACACTTTTACCACAAGAAGGAAAGAAACTGATAAGCAAATCATAACCCTTTTTGAAAGTCATTCATATATTCGTTTGCTTGCATGCATTTATTTTACTTTTAAAATTTACGGAAATTATTTTGTAAAAATTTGTTCACATACCGGGGTTAATTGTAGTTAGTTATTAAAATACTGGTTATCTGTTTATGTTTTCCAGCTAGTCACTATGCAATCTGTATACTTCTCGGAAAGCATAGCGTATTTAAAGCAAAACTAAGCATACTCTCACGATCAAACTTCCACCAGAGTTCGTTTGCTCACAAACCGTCTCTCTGTAGATGAGGCCTAGGGGAGTATACAGCTGTACTCTCAGTCTCACGATTTGATATCATACCAGTAGAACTATAGACGCTTCAGAGACGTTTATCAAAACATTCCCTATTTAGGTGATGCATTCATTTATTTAAAAAAAAAAAACAAACCCACAGAAGCATGCAATGATCAGAGGTCTCTGTCGAGACATTAGCTCAACACGTTTCTACTTTTAACAAAGGACGAGATAAGTAGCAGTTGGACCTGAAACTTCTTAAGTAATTTTAGTAATCACAGCAACATCATTCATCGAAATCAAAAACTGATATGTATTGTAGTAAAGGCTACTTGTGTGCCAAGTTTTACTTGAATCACACCAAAACTGTTGGAGGAGTAGAATTTTGAGAGTATTTTCACAGACTTTCCATTTTAGTGACCACAGCAACACCGTTCATTGAAATCAAAAACTGATACACAGAATTATGTATCTTAGTGTAGACTACTTGTGTGCAAACGTATATTGAAATCAAACCAAAACTGCATGTAGAAGAGAAGCATTTTGAAAAACTGTTTACAGACAGACAGACGGACGGATGGACGACGGACACCTTTCTATCGCAAAAGCTCTTCTGGTCTTTGACCAGTAGAGCTAAAAAACTGACCAATAGTAATTTTAGTTTATTTAATGCGTGTATTGACTTTTTTGTATTGGTCTAGAGGACATTCAATGTTTGAATTTGTCATTACATTGTTGGGAGTAGTTTTCATATATTAAAATTATTGAAAATACTTATAACTATGGTTGTATTTCCCCCCAGCTTAACACTGCATAGCAATGAAAAAAACGATTGCACATAATATTGTTTGAATGCCAAGTACAAAAGTCATATAAGACATTTTCAGGCGATTGTGATAGCGTGAAAAGTATCTGAATTCCGGTAATGTGATGGATGGCAGAGTTACTATAGACTAAAAATATACTGTAGATCACTAAATTTTCGCGACGCCTTATTTTCGCGAGATAGTCATTGACTCTTGATTAGCGAGACAAAATTTTCACGAATTGTGTTTATTGTTCTATATAATCTTAAGGAATAGTTTTATACGCGAGAATTTAATTTTCGCGAGCACACTGTCTCGCGTAATTACGCTAAAATAAAGTTCTCGCGAATAAAAAGTGATTTACAGTACACCATATCTATTGTGTTAACAGTTATTCATTTTGGATGTCGCTTGAACTGTTATTTGTAAAGCTTCATTTACAAGAGAAATAACCCCAACAATGAAGGCATGATGATGAATCTTTAGCAATGTAATCAAAATACAAGCCCCGAGTGAGAGAAAAGAGTTACACTACCTATGGTATCTTTTTTTATCGCAAAACTAAAGAAGCGTGAAACTTCTACTAATAAATAAGGTAAAATTTATTTCTTTGAATTTGTTAAGCTAAAGCCCACCCTGCAAAAGATGATCTTCCTTCGCGTCTGCTTGTAATATCACCACCGTTATACAAGTCCAGAGTTCTTAGTAGAACATCATCTCCCTGGTCCACATGCACCACAACAGTACCGGTGACACTACTAACAGTGTTAGCTGAATCAAGATACGTCGACCCAACGGCATTGTTATTGACCAAGAGTTCTGTTGAGTGATGTGAACCTCCATATATTCTTAAAGTCCATGTAAACACGTATAGACCAGAGTGGGGGCTATGAATGTACCAGCATGTGGGTGGTAGGCATTTCCAGCATTGGTGATTACGTTATCAAATGTAAGGATATGATGTGCGCTTGGAGATGGAATATCCTTCGATAAATACGCATAAAAAGCGACACTATTGCCATGTATTGCAGAAGTTGTCACAGGTGCAAGCAATCGCTCTGTAAAAATGCAGTAAAGAACAAATATCTCTTTAATGAATAAATATTTATATGATATGTATCTTCCAGGATGTACGAGGGTTGTCCGTAAAGTTCGTGGACAAGCCAAAAATTTGATAAAAGTTGTGTCATTGATATTTATTATTGGCATATTTCTAATCCTTTACTTAATGCGAATTGAATAATGTAAAAATTTAATCAATTTCAATTGTTTAATCATAATTATGGCTTCATAATTAGACTTGGAATGGAGATCCGGAGCACCGCAAAATTTTAATTAAAAATATATTTATCACTTTTTAAATTTCATTTGTATTTTCAAAAATTCTTGGGAAATCTGAAAAAATTTTACATCATGAGGTTGACAGAAGTTATCACGTTAAACCTGCAAAATTCGAACGTTCAAAGTCTCAAAATGGTGGAGCAATCAGCGTTAGAACTTATTAAGACAAGATCGGAATCGTTCAAAAAAAGAGACGTTTTCGGAATAGGTGGAGCAGTGAACAGTGATAAAATTCTGCGTTGACAATGGAAAAACACATACAGAGACCAATACATTCTGTAAACATTCGGGAAAACATAGTAAAAGAAGTCGTTCACTAGTTTTTACGTGGCATATAATATTTTCGGACGGAATGAACAGTTTACAGAATGACATGCGTGAAGGAAAACCATTATTCCGAGATTGCAGTGCTGTAAAATATGAATTTCGTAACGTGATCATGCCGTATTTCCGTAAATGAAATCGTCTTTACACGGACAGTGGTTATATGATTGCAGGATATGATACAGGCATTGTTAAATATTATTTTAAGAATGAAACCTGAACATTTTGTGCATATTTTTATGACTGGTCAAAACGACATAAGAAATTGTATTGAGTTAAACGCTGACTATGTTGAGAAAAGTTACTACTGCTCGTATTTAGCTTTTGACGTCGGTAACGTCAAGAATTTTCGTTTTAGTGCTCCGGGTATGAGTGTGTGTCTTTTTTGTATCTGATAAAATTATAACTATTTGTGGTTTGTTTTTGTTGAAAACTTGCATATTTATAAAATGAAACATAAATTTAATGAAAATAATAGTTTCAAATATTTTGTTAATGTTTGTCCGTAATTATCAATGTTGTCCACGAACTTTACGGACAACCCTCGTATTGTTATAAACCCCACCTTTTCTAATCAAATTGTCTTGGTTTTGTGTGAAGGTTTTAAGGAAAGAGGACTTTTCCTCCTGCAAGTGCATCAAATTTCGTAGTTGATTCTTTAGATCTCTATAAAGTTTTTCTTGGACATTCTGTCTACTCTGTAACACGGAAATCTTTTTCTTTGTGGTCCTCTTCAAATTTTTATCAGCTAGAATGTCCCTCGATTGTTTTACCAAACGTTCTTCTAAACGCGAGTACTGCTTCTCTAGAATAGAAATCCGTTCATCTTGCTTGTTCTCTCTACTGCGGAGATCGGTAGCAATACGTTTTTCCAAGTTTCTGTTCTGTTTCTCTAACTGACAAATGCGATCACTTTGGAGGTGTACGGTCGTCTGGAGTTCCTTTAATTTCTCCATCACCGCCTTCAAGACTGTATTGGTACTAAATGTTTCCCCACCATGACCATTAACAGGAAGATGGAGGAATTGGACCAATATAATAAGGAATAAAACCGTCTGCGTTTCAAGACTAGACCTTTGTTAAAAGTACTCACCTCAAATGCGTTATCTAGGTCACAAGTCACAAGGAGAAAATCTGATAAGCATATCATAACCTTTTCTATAAATTATTTCAGTCGGAATGCCCTTTTTGCATGTATGTGTTTTATTTTTATTTTTACGTACTTCTTTGACATTGTTTCACTAAACTTCAATAAGTAGTTGATATAAAATGTTACATGTCTGTTCATTATAATCACTTTGCCCGTTATTCGCATTCTCCAATTATTTTTATTTTACCATAGCCCGTGTTTAATCCTTTCTTAAAAAAAAATATTGAGACTAGTAGCGGGTACTGTTTTTTTTTTTTTTTTTTTTTTTTTTGCATGCATTTATTTTTTCATATATTTTAAAATACTTCACCGGCATTGCTTCTTTAAGATTTGTGACACGATAGCGGTGTTTTTCTTTGAAGTTTACTGTTCTGTATTAGCAATACAGAATGGGACTGTGGTGGGCGGAGCTACTTTCCGTTCTGTATTAACCCTGTATACAGTATTGTATTTGCCAACTCTTCTGTATCTAAAATACAGCATGGTCTAAAAATAAATCTGATTCAATTGAGCAAAAGCACATACAAATGGTAAATGCTGATCATGATGTTTTCCTATAATAAATTTTGGAGAAATACCCGGTATTTTCCTGAGAATGTAAAACGTCAAAATTTCTCAGTCACTTTTTAAAAAATTATTCCATACAGAATCTACACGTAATTTTGATCCAAACTAAAAGGAGAAATCGCAGTGACGGAAAACATCCTCTACACGTAATTTCTATCTAAACGAAACGGAAAATTCGCAATAACGGAAAACATCTACTCTCCTCGTGCAAAATCATCCAAGTCCATTTTCTACGCGTTTTTATTTTTTAAAATCCTTCGATTCTCGCTGACGACAGTCTGTTTTTGTAGATATAGTTAAACCAGAATTTTAAGACCCCTGAAATATATTATGATCAATCTCCATCTACAATAGATCACAACAATGACGGTTAAATCATCCACCATAAAGACTGACTATCACTCGGTTACGTCTACCCCGTTAAATTGTCAAAAGTAATCTGACCGAATTTTACGTTTTCCGTGGAAATATATATACTGCGGATGCGTACTCCCCGTCGGGGCCTCATCTACAGAAACTCTGGAGGATGCTGCAAAGTTATAAAGTAGGTGGAGCTATTTTTGATTGATCGTGTCACAAATCATTTAGAGAACTCGACAGGTTCTATATCGTAGATACAAATTTGGGTGGAGACTCGTGCTTACGCACTCTTGTATCTAGATACAACACCCGTCTCGTTCTCTAAATAATACTTAATTTTTAAAAGTTAGTTACAAAATGTCGAATTTCTGTTGACGATAATCATTTATTCACTTCAAATAGCGCACTTATCCGCCTTCTAATAATATTTCTCTTTCACAGCCCGACATGTTAATACCATTATCATAAGGTTCTTTGAAAATATTTGTATTACTAATGTTAAAACTCGTGTATCCTTTATATTGTATTCAAATGCTCAACTGACAAGAAGATTGAGCTGAAACACTCTATCACGTTGAGACTATACCAGTAACAATATAGACGCTTCAGGGGCGTCTAACAAAAATCTTGTCCTCTATAGGTGTCCTAGTATAGTAAACAACGTTAAAAACAAGCAGAAAATTGTGCTTTTTATCGATTATTTGTTTTAGAAAGTTTCAAATTTCGGTAATTGCAAAGCCTTCAGGTAACATATTTCCTGAAGTGCACCTGAGAGAAATAGTCTTCCTTGAGCTGAGGGAAATAGTCTTCCTCGAGGGGAAGTGGAATCTTGCCGACTCCCATAATGATTTACTTAAACTGTTTTTAATATACAGATAAAAAAAAACCCATTTTCAAAACCTGTAAACTGCTATTCTATTTTATACGCAGAGCAAAACGGGATCAATCTGGATTTAGTTATGGGCAAATCATGCAAAAGCGAAAAAATTTAATTTTCAGCTATTTGCCCATCAACATTAAAGTCCAGTTGATCCTTGTTTTGCTCTGCGTAAAAAATAAATAGCTTTACAGGTTTTGAAAATGGACCATTTACTGACCTCTTTTCTCAAAAATTTACTAAAATTGGTTCAACAATCTACTGTAGATCCCTAATTATACGCAAGGATTTAATTTCCACAAAAATCACTCGCAAAAAAAATTTACTCTCTTATTTTTATTGTCCTGAAATTATGTAAATTTTGTTATCAACCTCCATTCGCGAATTAAAATTCTCGCGATATAGTAAAAGACCCATTTCGAAAAAAATACTGGAAAAATAAGGAATCTACAGTATGAGAAGAAGCAAAAAATGTTCAACAGTTTGAGGATGGCAGTAAATCACATAAGTGACTCTGCTAGCAATAAATATAACAGTTTTATGGGATTCTTTTTACAGTATTTATTTGCAGACTTAATGTAAAGTAAAAAAAGTGTATTTCTACAACTTCTCAAAAAGAAATAAATTACAAAAAAAAGAATGAAATCTTCCAATATTCTCTGCGGAGTTTATCTCAACAAGTTAACATTTTCAAATCTCTGATTTCTTCCTTTTCTAAGCAGGGAGTAAATAAAATGTGTACAGAAAAACTAGTCTAACTGTTATTCTTATAAGATTTTCTCCCCTTTTTTTAAAAATTTTACTTTTTGTACATAATTAAAATCAGCATTACAGATGAAGTTAAAGATCATAATGAACCGTTTCTTAAAAAAAAAAGACCATAACTCATTCCTTAAAATGCTAAAAATCGGCGTGTCTAAAAAAAAAGTTTTTCTGGAAAAAAAACTTCATCTTCCTTTTTTTTTTGCAAATTAATGTTGCAACCAATGATTGAAAAATGTTTCTTTTTATGCAATTTTCTTTTAAAATTGAAAAACAGTTAATGTCTATATTACCATATATATGTATATCAAATAAATACCAGTAAAGTATTGGAGGATAGTTAAAAGGGGTTTTTAATCCAATAAGCTCAACTTTTGCATAGGGAATGTTAAAGAATCTAATTAACATAATAAATAATGCTGTGATATTGCCATAGTTTGCTTTGGAATGGGCCTTCTCCAAATCAAACTATTTGCATAAATAATAGAAAATAATACAAATAAAAAATCAACTACAAAACTTGTAACTATAAGAAGTATAGAATACACAAAAAAAAATGACATAGAGCTATAGAAATTTATAAACAAATCCTTTTCAATTTCAAAATCACTACAATAAAACAAATTTTGAGACTACTATAAATAAATACAAATGTTTACAATATTCTTTATAAATTATGCATGGCTATGCAAAAATGTGCAGAATAAGCAAAATCTTTTTTATTTCAAGTGAAAAAAATGGAAGATTTTCTGTGTGGTTTTGGATTAAGCAATAACAATTTGTGTTATAACAACAAACATAACAAGATATATGGACATCATTTTCTTCCCAATGTAGGTAGTAAAATATATCTGTACAGAGAATCATGATATGGTTGATAAAAATGATCACAAAAAAAGACATATTCAAGCACTGCTTGAGGAGCAATAAACCCAGCTTGCTGATCAATTGTAATTTTAAAACACTAACTGCTTTACTGCAAAACAAATTTGGTCTCGAATACACATGAAATCAATTCATCTGTACCTATGTAAAAGATATGTGTAGCAAAAGAAATATACAATAAGTTTCTCAGCGAGAATACATCAGAAATTTGTTACATCTGTACATATCACATGTACAAATGGTATATTATAAACATACTGAATAAACATCCAAAAAAAAAAAAGTCTGGAGAAAGTGTTTACTTGCTAATAACTTGTATCAACAAGTATCCTTGTGATATATATAACTTCAAATTCAAGCAATAATTTGCAAATTTGAAATCAAATATCCAATTTTGAATAAAAAACTGTGAATAAATTTGAAACAGCCTATATATCACAGATAATTGTGAGAAACCCAAACAAATCCAAAGACAAAAATAATCCTAGACAAAGATATTAGGGTAAAAAATAGAAAAAAAAAACTCTCACTTTTTTAAAGTCCTCACTATGACTCACACCATTCACTGCATCACAAAACTGGGGGAAAACACGAAAAAGTGGAAAGTTGTCAGAAATATCACAATGTAGGGCCAAGTTCAGGGGTTTTTTATCACATGTATTGGCCTTTAATGGAACTCGGGGGGGCCCGTAAACTGCTGTTTTTTGGGGAACCAGTCAAACAGCTGTTTCTTTATCCTCTGACACAACCAGTTGAAAATGCTCCTGACCTACAAAAAAAAAAACGAGAGAATTTTATTTATTTTTTTCATTTCTTCCTCTTTTACCTGAATAAAACAAAATATAACTAGTACTTTGTAACGGGCCCCTAAGATTTCCCCCAAATCCCCAACTACCTTTTGGTGCCATATTCCCTGTAAGCCTTATTAAATGACAACCTCTGTGCATTTTTGACATTAACAACGTTTTCCGAAAAGGATACGAATTATATTCAAATTTTAGCATTGGACGCATGCGCACATGAATTCATGTGCGTAATGATCATATCATCTTGTCTACACTATCTATATACTATATATTATAGCATTTAGTTCAAAAGTATTAAAAATCACTCATTCAAGTGTATTTTAATTTCACCTGTTCCAAATGCACACACGTGCGTGCACGTGCATGATGATCTTACCTTCTTGTAGGAGGCCCTTATATCTATTCTTGTTCTAAATCCCATCCTGTTTCGTTGAAAACCGAGGGAGTTACAGCTATTTCAAGTTTCAGCCAATCAGATTTTAGCACACGTGCATCCGCGTGAATGAATTTTTTTCTATATCATATTGTAGGATATCCTAATGCATGACT